ACCCCCCCCCCCCCCATCATCATCCTGTTAACCTTATCCATCATCCTGTTAACTTCGGTGAGTTCGCCTCCTTCCCGCCCCCTCGCTTTTTCAAGGCCGTCCGTCGTTTCACCGAGCGCGCCATCAGCATGGGAAACCCCTTGCAAGCCACCGCCGACGTTATCTCCCACGCCTCGGAGTTTGTCCACGACGACCAGTTTCTTTTCTTCGCCTCTGTTTCAAGGGCGTGGAGGGGCGCCTGGCGCGGCCGCCCGACTTTAACCAGAGCCATCACCCCAGACACCTCGCCGAGCCAGCTGCGGCACAGCGTCGACTGCGGCCTCTCTGGGGGCACCGCAGTATGCACCGCGATCGCCTCCTTGGGCAGGCTCGACCTCCTGCGGGCCGCTCGCGCGCTCGGCTTCCAGTGGGACAAGATGACCTGCTGGAAGGCCGCAGAGGGGGGCCACCTCGACGTGCTCCGCTACGCCCGAGCAAACGGCTGCGGGTGGAACGTCCTGACCTGCGCGGGGGCGGCCAAGGGCGGCCACCTCGAGGTCCTCGCGTGGGCGCGGCAGAACGGCTGCGGCTGGGACGAGTGGACGTGCACAGCGGCGACGAAGGAGGGTCACCTGGAGGTCCTGCAGTGGGCCCGCGCCAACGGGTGCCCCTGGAACGCCTGGACGTGCGCGCAGGCGGCGGCCGGCGGCCACGTTGAGGTGTTGCGGTGGGCCCATGAAAACGGGTGCCCCTGGGACGAGGATGTCTGCTGGGCGGCGGCGTGGGGCGGCCACTTGGACGCCCTCGAGTACGCAAGGGCTAACCACTGCCCGTGGAACGAGCGCACGTGTTCGGGAGCGGCGGAGAACGGTCACCTGGAGGTGTTGGTGTGGGCAAGGGAGAACGGGTGTCCCTGGAACGAGAGGACCTGCGTCAACGCCTCGCGGGGGGGGCACGACGACGTGCTTCGATGGGCCGTCGCTAACGGTTGTGTGTGAAGAGGGTTTCGAGGGGCTGGAGGAGCTAACGGCAGTAGCTGAAGTTGGCGAGGGTGTTCGTTGTACGATGGGGCTCGAGATAGATTGCGAAGAGGGCTGTGTTGTGGGCGCTCTTTGGTCGCTGGAATGAATGCTGCAGGAAGCGAGACACAAGACAGTTTTAAGCCATTCATAGCCGTCGTGTGCTAAAACAGAGCAGCAAAATAAAAATTCCACTCTAACAAGAGCAGACACACGGTCTTCCACCTCCTGTTTTTTAGCACATTTGAATGAGCAACCTATTGGAGTTTTAGGTTTCGTCACGTACCAAGGGCACGTTGCCCTCTTCGAGAGGTGGGCAACACACCGATGCCCCGGGGGTTGGATTTCACGGCCGTTTCATCAAAAGTCTCAACTCCATGTTTTAAATCGGCACGGTCAGAGCTGTTTTTTTTCTTTTTTCGGAAGTGATGAAAGCGCCAGAGGGCGTTCTTCTTTTATCTTGGCTTGACTGCGAAATGTCCGGCGCATGCGGGCACCCTAGGCACGCGGAACTAGAGCTATGCTGCTGAACGCGCCTCTAACAGATGCGTATTGCCGAGGTGTGACCTGTTTTTGTGGATATGTTTGCGGTCGCCTCTTGTGCTTTTTACATCGTTTACGGTCCTCCTGATGATGGATTTGTTCCGGCGTAGCAGCCCTCCCTGTCTGGAATGCAGGCGACGTCGCGTTTGGTGCATGTCTTGTTGATCTACGTGGTATCAGCGGGGCTCCTGTTTGTTATATGGTGCCTGGCACTTTGAAGTATGGGGGGTGTAGAAAGTTATTGAGATTCAGAAACCTAAGAATGCCTTGCTTCGTAATTTGGTACACGTGTAGGGGCGCTCCCGTAGGGAAGACACCAACTATGGCGATCAATTTCACTAATGGTACTGGTAGAGCAGCCCAAAACGAATGGACCAGACCACCTACACGTGAATCGCCATGCTTTTTTTTTTTCGTGATACGGACAATGAACCTTGCATCCTGTCCCCGTTATTGAAAGAGATTATGTTATTTTTTGTTCGTAAAGAGACCAATATTGCAGCAGTGGCCGGGTGTTTTTATTTTTTACCGTAAGAGAGGATTGTAGGGAGATGTGCGCGGCAGAGAGCATGTATCGTGACCTCGTGCCGAAAACCGACTCTCTGATTAATTTCCTTGAATTCGCTCCGTGCTCGGGCGTGTTTTTTGGCCTTTTTCGTGCGATCACGCCTTCAGAGCTTTGCCGAGCGACTCTTAACATTTTACGTAGATGACACAGATTCGCTTCCAAAAACACAAATCACCCCCGCATGGTGGCACCCTGGCAATTAGGTGTACAGATAGCGCCCGCACTAAGAACCTCAAGTTTCGGCCGAGGCTGGGGTTCTTTGCTGATCATCCTCTTGTGGGCTACAAATGGCCGCAATATAGGTTTTAGTGCAGGGGTTCTTATCCGGGCTCACAAATGGTGCTCCAGTTCTTAGCTTATAATGTCTTGAGTCTCAATTTCTAAACTGCTAAATTTTCAAGTGCGGGCGCTATCAACATGTATGTGTTCTGTGGTGGACTTGGCAGCATGGCACCCTTGTATTGGTAGCACGAGGTGATGAAATGAGAGATGACCAATGGCAGTGTTGCTACATACAATGCCTGCCGGGAGGTGCAGTTATTCATTCGCGGTTCTGTCCGATGCCCCAAACTGGTTTGGTCATGGGAGCTCCGTCCGACGATTAACGTGTAGGTCGCGTGATAGTTATCCCGCACAAGTGGCTAGCTTGCAGGCGTTTCTCACCCATGTAAACTTGTGTTCAGAAACCTATCAAGGATGAACTACACCAGCAGGGGGGCAACGCATGTGGGGGCCGCATGGCGAGGTTTCTAGAGTCAAAACAGTATTGCGTGTCAAAGGTCCGCCGGAAGACGTGCTGGCATATTATTTTACCCCTACAACAGGAAGGGCGGGGAAAGAGGAAACAAACCAGGAAACATCCCGACATGCGTTCTAGGTCATTTTAGGATGGAGGAGACCCCACGGACACAGATCAAAAGGCCTCTTCTAACTCGAAGTCAACCATCGCCCACCGCCCGGACAACAAACGGAAGGGCCCAGCACCGTGCTTTCAAAAACTTGGCCACGATGACAAGGGACACAAAGTCGGTACATCAAGGGGGCACGCAAACAACCATCCTGGGGGTCCCCCCCAAACGAGGACGTACCACACCACGGGCACCTTGCTCCACCGCCCGACCAAGGTACGCAGGTGTGGAGCTGGAAAACAACCCACCCCCGTTCTTGGTGTGCTGTTGATTCGGGGCTGACGATTCTCCCTAAGCCACCCGGTATGAGTGCAAAAAGTAATTCGTTACACGCGATTCGCTCGTGGAAAGTTAACTTTTGATACCGCAAGACGGAGGCAAGCAACGCACAAGAATAACTCCGCCCCCCCCCCGCCCCCCCGGTACACAAGCCTGGTCCGATAAAACCCGGCATACTCCGTCCCGGTTTTGAAGGGATGAACGGTCTAACAACTACTTCGGCACGCACGGCTATGTGTATCCCTCGTACACTCGATCCCCGCATCCCGCTCCCCCGTAGCCAATCTATGGACAGATATGGATCATCCATGCCATCAGGACACTGTGTCTAGCAGGGCTGCAAATCCCAAGCCAGGCCGTTGCGAACGACCAATCCGTCCCAATACCAGCCATGCCATCAGGACTCTCTCTACAAGGGCGGCGAATCTCAAGCCAGGTCAATACGAATGAGCAATCCGTCCCATGCTAGCCATGAGCACGACCCGCTCCACACTGCACAAACAGCCATCACGAAAAAAAAAATATATATATATATTCACAAGTCCGGCAACCGGACCTGTGACCAGTCCCCCGACTTGATGATGTCCACAAACTTTTGGAAGTACTGCGGGAAGGCGTTCAGAAGCGAGTTCAGGGTAATGATGTACACGATGAAGGCGATCTGCGCCACCACCGCGAGCAGGGTCAGCTGGGCGGCGCGGCGAGTGTTAGGCCACAAGATGTTCTTGCCCTGGCCAGATGCACACACGCGACACAGGGAGATGGGGGGGGGGTTACGGCCGGGGGGAGGGGGGCGCGTTATCATGTGTTACATGCCTTCCTTGACCAGGAGAGGAAGGAGCATGTTCTCACAGGACCGAAGATCACCGATGGCCAATTTTTTCCTGCGACTTTACCAAAGGCGCCTCAAAAAAGTTTTTTCTAGCCTATCTTATCCTACTATTATTATATATAACGACATCGCTTCCTGTCTCGTCGACCTACTTCCTACATCCTCGTACAGCTACCGTCGTCTCCTGTGGAGGGCGGATGGGGGTCGAATTCATTATGTGATGAACGGACGGGGTGGTGGGATAGCGATCTGCGATACCACCACCGCCAACTAGGAGTGTCAGTTTAAACGATTGGGTAGACCGCAGGATGGGACCGCGGTAGTGCTTCGAAGTGCTTTATTAATCCTCGAAATAGAGACGGGGTTCAAGTCCATACATGTACCCCTACCCCCGACCCCCAACCCCCTGCTAAAACCAAGCTTGGCATCCTCGCGAGGGCTACAGGCAGGATGCCGTGACCTCGACATGTCAACAAATCCATGCAAGCAGGCATTTGCGGCGTGCGGGAGGGGTTTCACGGGGGGCCGACGGACGATTGTTATCGTGTAACCGTTGGAACCTTCAGCAAAATATATCAAGACCGGGGGGGGGGGGGGGGGGGNTCGGCGTTTCGCCCAAAACAGGAGAATGAGGCACCAAGCGTGAAGCGCTCCGCCAAAAGCAAGAGAGGTGTAGAATGGAAAAATGGAAAAAAAGGCTTCGTTTCGTGGAGTAACGGAGCTTCGAAAATCGTTCCCAGGGTGTGGTACCTTAAGCAATCTGCGGTGAAGGAAACCGCAACGGGGAAAGAAAGCCCAAAACATCACCATACAGCAGAGGAGCCCCGCTTCAAGTGTCTTGTTGGGCTGAGAGAAGCGAATCTCTTCGCCAACGCTATCGTCAAAGGAAGGAAAATCTAGACGAGACAGATTTCCACGCCGGACAGGTTCGGCAGCAGCAGGAACATTGGTATGGTGGATAGCAACAGCAACAGTAAGGAACAGTAGTAGTCGCGAGCGAAAGGAAATGACGAAACGTGGCGCACCTCGTCGACAAACCCCGGTTCCGCGCTGAATTCTTCGTCCTTAGAGAAAAATCCCCCCCCGCCGGAGCTCTCCTCCTCTTCCTCCTCGCTCTCCACCGACATCGAGGCGGGTATCGCTACCTCCCCTTCCCCCGCACCCTCCTTCTCATCCTGCTCTTTTTCCTCTGCTTGTGCGACCGCGGCTGCCTGAGAGCACGGAACGGATTTGTAGAAAGGTTCCTTTTGGCATTTCGCACTCAGCGCGCGCGTTGTGTTATTTTTCTGACGTTGGCTCCCCTTTCCCGAGACCTTGGTTTGTACACTTTCAAGAACAGGCCTCCACTAGATCGAGTTTGTGTGTTCCATAACATGTTATAGGGGTCCACCAATTGAACCATCTGTTTGGAACAGGGCCCGCGTCGGTGGCTGTACCTCCCCCTCCCCCCTCCCCGAAGCCTCGCAAGTGCCGCCAAACCGGGATTGATACGGAGATCATGGGCTAACGGCGATGCGATCCGATTGCCTCACTACCGCTACAGCGGTTGAGCAGGTACCGCGGGCGTGACATCGGCGGCAAGGCAGGAACAACATTCTCGGGCTAAAAAGTAGCGCCCGTGATACAAAAAATAAAGGAATGCCGTCCAGGCCGGCGCTTACAGAGCAGAGCTCCGCCTCCCACCCTCTTTGCCTTGGTTCCAACCCCTAAGTCCTTCGGCGACGCCGGCATTGTTCGCCTTGGCTAGAATAGCGCAGCGATCATGCGCCGGGAAAAGCTTAAAATTGGCGGGAAAAATGTTCCTTGACACATGAGAAGAAGGTACATAATCTTAACGACGTCGTACGGGGTGCATTCGGAGTAGAACAAGGGGCAGGTAGGGGAAATCCCAGCAGTTTCGATCTAGACGGCACGATTCACCCCGCACCTGCGCCTGAACCTCCTTCTGCAGGGCAGCGATCTTCTCCTCCGTCGAGAGCTCCCGGCCCACGCCGCCTATGCTGTCCATGAAGTCGGTCGCCCCTCCCGACCCCGTCGGTTCCTTCGAGGAGTAGAGGCGGGAGGGGGGTCTCGGGCGTGCCACCGTCGCCGCTGCCGCTGCCGCTACGCGGTGTGATTTTGCTGAGCAGGGTGGCGGAATAGGTGGGAGGGGGTCGTACTCTGATGTTTTGCGTACCTTAGCGGTTAGACCGTTTGGCCACGAATGGACGGACCATTGTTCCCACAGGACCGAAGATTACCGATGGCCAATCGTTCCTTCCAACTCTGACAAAGGTGGCCCAGAAATGGTTTCTTGGTCCGGTCTATCCTATCGGTATCACTTCCCGCCTATTCAACCCACTTCCTGTGCTCCAGTACAGCTACCGTCTTCTCCTGGCCATTCCATGCCTCAAACATCTCCCTGTATCTTCATTCTACTTTTCAAAGCTCAGTCATATACACTTCCCCCTCCTTCTTGTACAACGCACATGCCGCGGGGTGTACATGTTCAAGAGGTTGGAGGGGGGGTACTGGGCAGGGAGGGGGTAGGTGGAGGTGGCTCGATGTTCCAGCGGAGTGCCGTTGCTACGCTCTTTACGCAGGTGGGCATTTGTAATCGAGGGTGGGACGGGGGGGGTAGTTCGATGTTTATCCGGACCTGATGTGCGGACAGGCAAATGGTTAATTGAGTTGGTACCCGCAAGGTGAGCCTGCATAGCCTCGCTGTTGTGTGTTGTAGGTCCGGTGACAAGTCAAGGCTTAATCCTGTATCTGTGGATTGCGCTCTCCTCAATAAAAAACTTCCCGCCCCCAGCTCCACGAGCTCTGAATGCACACGCGAATTTTTGAGTGATGATTGACAAGGTGAGGCTCGATACCCGCCGGGTACTGAGTTGCGCGAGAGCTCTGCCGTCCGTTGCTGTTGGAGGTTCAAGGCCTCCACTTCAAAGCACCTCGCCGTGGCGGCGTCTCCCAGGACTGTGGGCCGAACAAAGTCCAACCAATCGATGAATGCTGTTTGCGGAACCAATCAAGGGATGCTGTGTATAAGCCCCTGTTCCTGATGTTCAGCCTGCCTTTGGGTGGGGTTCGATAGCGGCGTACACTGCGTTCACACCCCATTTACTCTCTAGACCAGTCTTGTCGCCTCTTCGGACGCACATTGCCTAAAATAAGGCTGACTCCCATGGCTACCGAAAGTTAGCCCGAAGGATTTTTTGGACCAGGATACTCCCATCCCCGGACTTGACACGGATTTGACCAAGCAACAGACCTCTCACAACATCACCAAAGAGCTATCCCTGCATCACGGTCGGATCGCCAGCAAACCTTGAAAGCTGTGCGCAGTACACCTGTAGGCGTCTTTGAAGCTAGTGGTGACTGCTGTGGGATCTGCGTGTGCTGAGAAATGTCAAACCATGTGAGCAAAAGTAAGAATCCGTGTAGAGAATCCGTCGAGGATTCTGTAAGAGGGTTTGGCCTATTTTTATATAGAATCTCCTACGGATTCTCAACACGGATTCTTACTTTTGCTCACATGGATTGACATTTCTCAGCACACAAATCCCACAGCAGTTAGTCACCACTAGCTTCAAAGACGCCTACAGGTGTGGGGCGTATAGCCTTCAAGATTTGGTGGCGATCCGACCATCATGCAGGGAGAACTCTGTGGTGATGTGGTTGGTGAGAGGTCTGTCTCTTGGTCGAATCCGTGTCAAATCCGTGTCAAATCCGGGTGAGGCGGGGTATGCCAGTCCAAAAAATCCGTCGGGCCAACTTTCGGCTGCATTATTGGAAGAGTCAGCCTTACACGGGATTGCACAGAGGGGGGCCGTGGCTCCTTCCCCCCCCCCCCCCCCCCCCCCCC